CTGAGGCATCTGGCTTCTGTTACGTCAATAATACCGTCTTGGCCATTCTGGAACTGCTAAAGCATCACCAGAGGGTGCTGTATATTGACATTGATATTCACCATGGCGACGGCGTGGAAGAGGCCTTCTATACCACAGACCGAGTCATGACTGTGTCCTTTCATAAGTATAGAGAGTACTTCCCAGGATCTGGGGACCTACAGGATATCGGGGCTGGCAAAGGCAAGTATTATGCTGTTAACTACTCGCTCCGAGATGGGATTGATGACGAGTCCTGTGAGGCCGTTTTCAAGCCGGTCAGGTCCAAAGTAATGGAGATGTTCCAGCCTAGTGCGGTGGTCTTACAGTGTGACTCAGACTGCCTATCTGGGGATCGGTTAGGTTGCTTCAATCTAACCATCAAAAGGCACGCCAAGTGTGTGGAATTTGTCAAGAGCTTTAACCTGCCTATGCTGATGCTGGGAGGTGGTGGTTACACCATTCGTAATGTTGCCCGGTGCTGGACATACTAGACAGCTGTGGCCCTGGATACGGAGATCCCTAATGAGCTTCCATACAACGACTACTTTGAATACTTTGGACCAGATTTCAAGCTCCACATCAGTCCTTCCAATATGACTAACCAGAACACGAATGAGTACCTGGAGAAGATCAAACAGCGACTGTTTGAGAACCTTAGAATGCTGCCGCACGCACCTGGGGTCCAAATGCAGGCGATTCCTGAGGACGCCATCCCTGAGGAGAGTGGCGATGAGGACAAAGAAGACCCTGACAAGCGCATCTCGATCTGCTCCTCTGACAAACGAATTGCCTGTGAGGAAGAGTTCTCCGATTCTGAAGAGGAAGGAGAGGGGGGCCGCAAGAATTCTTCCAACTTCAAAAAAGCCAAGAGAGTCAAAACAGAGGATGAAAAAGAGAAAGACCCAGAGGAGAAGAAAGAAGTCACAGAAGAGGAGAAAACCAAGGAGGAAAAGCCAGAAGCCAAAGGGGTCAAGGAAGAGGTCAAGTTGGCCTGAACAGACCTCTCTAGCTCTGGCTTCCTGCTGAGTCCCTCGCCTTTCTCCCCCAACCCCTCAGATTTTATATTTTCTATTTCTCTGTGTATTTATATAAAAACTTTTTAAATATAAATATCCCCAGGGACAGAAACCAAGGCCCTGAGCCCAGGGAAGCTGTGCTGGGTGAGGTCTTCCAGGGGCCGCGTTGCCACCCATTCTTCCCCAGTTCTTAACTTTGAACCATAAAGGGTGCCAGGTCTGGGTGAAAGGGATGCTTTTATGCAACCATAAGACAAAATTCTGAAATGCGAAGTGCCTGCTTAGTAGCTTTGGAAAGGTGCCCTTATTGAACATTCTAGAAGGGGTGTCTGGGTCTTCAAGGATCTCCTATTCTTTTCAGGCTCCTAAGATAACATCAGCCATTTTTAGATTGTTTCTGTTTTCATACCTTCCCACTGGCCTCAAGTGAGCCACGAAACACTGCCTGCTCCCTGTCTTCTCCTAATTCTGCAGGTGGAGATCGCCAGTCTAGTTTCCTTTTTGAGATATTATTTTCATTTTTGTGAGCCTCTTTGTAATAAAATGGTACATTTCTATATAAAAAATAATAATAATAATTTTTATTTTCATCCATTAGGGAGATTGGCCTTTAATTTTCTTATTATGTCCTTGTCAGATTTTCTCATCAGTGTTATTATAATCACATAAAATGAGTTCAGAACCATTCCTTCCTTTCTTATCCTCTGGAAGAATTTGTGTGACACTGATGTTATTTTTCTCTTAAATGTTTTGAAAAATTTACTATCATCCGAGGCTAAATTATTCTTTGTGGGAAAGTTTTTAATTACAAATTTGATTTCTTTAATAGATATAATATTATTCAAATGTTATACTTGTGATAGTTTTCATAAATTGTGTTTTTTAAAGAAGTTTTCTATTTCATCTAAAATTGAATTTATTGTCATAAGATTAAATCAATCTCTTATCTTTTTAATATCTGCAGAATCTCAGTGGTATCCCTCTTTTCATCCAAGATGTTGGCAATTTGTGTCTTATCTTTTTTTGTCTTGATCAGTTTTGGCAAGAGTTAATCAATTTTATTAGTCTTTTTGAAGAACTAAATTTAAGCTTGTAGACTTAGTCTATTAAATGTTTTCTGTCTCTTTAATTAATTTCTGCCTTTATCCTTATTATTTTCCATCATCTTTAATTAGGTAGAATTTGTTCTTTTCCTAGTTTATTTATTTATTTATTATTTATTTATGAGGATAGATAGGTGTATATATTTATGGGGTACATAAGATGTTTTCATACAAAAATGCAATGTGAAACAAGCACATCATGGAGAATGGGGTATCCATCCCCTCAAGCATTTATCCTTTGTGTTTTTAACAATTCTATTACATATCTTATGATATTTTAAAATGTACAATTAAATGATTATTGACTATAGTCACCCTGTTGAGCTATCACAAAGTAGGCCTTATTCATTCTTTCTATTTTTTATTTTCTATTAACTTTCTGTTTCTATTTTCTATTAACCATTCCCACCTCCCTCAGCCCCCACTACCTTTCCCAGCCTCCAGTAACCACCCTTCAACTCTCTATGTCCATGAATTCAATTGTTTTGATTTTTAGATCCCATACGTAAGTGACAACATGTGATGTTCATCTTTCTGTTCCTGGATTATTTCAGTTATTCTCTTGTCCACTTATTCATTTATTATTTATTCACTTATTCTCTTTCATGGCTCAAGAGTATCCCATTGTGTATATGTACCACATTTTCTTTGTCCATTCATCTCTTGATAGACATGTAGGTTGCTTCCCAAGCTTAGCTATTGTAAATAGTGCTGCAACAAACATAGGAGTGCAGATATCTCTTCAATATACTGCTTTCCTTACTTCTGGGTATATGCCCAGGAGTGAAATAGCTGGATCACATGGTAGCTCAACTTATAGTGTTTTGAGGAATCTGTTTTCCATAGTGGTTGTAGTAATTTACATTCCCACCAACTGTGTCCGAGGGTTCCCTTTCCCCCACATTCTCACCAGCATGTAGCATTGCCCACCTTTTGAATATAAGCCATTTTAACTGGGGTGCAATGAGATCTCATTGCAGTTTTGATGTGCATTTCTCTGATGATCACTGATTTTGAGCACCTTTTCACATGCCTGCTTGCCATTTTTATGTCTTCTTTTGAGAAGTGTCTATTCAAATCTTTTGCCCATTTTTTGTTCAGGTTACTAGATTATTTTCCTACAGAGTTTTTTGAACTCTATATATCCTGGTTATTAATCCCTTGTCAGATGAGCAGTTTACAAATATTTTTTCCCATTCTATGAGATGTCTCTTCACTTTGTTGATTGTATCCTTTACAGTGCAGAAACTTTTTTTTTTTTT